AAGTAACACTCAGTCTTCTACATAATCAATATACATTACATTACTTTTAATTGCTAGATTTCAAAGTCGAAATCAGCTTAAAATGAAACATCATGTTAAACAAGCTTTTTCTCTCGTTTTCTAGCACCCATGAACAGTCGGCCGTCACCGGCGCTGAAGCACCTCCACACTCGCAGCTCAGTTGTCGCACAGTGTTATCCTGCCTCCATCCCACTAAAGTCCCTGTTACCTCCACACATCAGATCCCCGCCATGTGTAATGTGTCACCTTCTAAATCTCACATGTCCACTATGGACTCTCCTCAGGAAACCCAAGACGTCCTTTTACCTCCCTCTGCTTTCATGACCACTGGGACTGAAGATAAGGTAATAATCACCTGTTTGACTGGGACGGATATTGGTGTGGATTCAGTGCTAAATGTAGTGATTTGACTTGGGTTATATCTTCTTTTTTTCTTTTTTTTTTTTTAAGTTGGAGAAGACCAGCAGCTCAGGTTCTGGAGATGCTCTACTTCTTCCTCCCGTTAAACAATATTCAACTTATCCAGGTATGACAGATTAGGAAGGAACAATTGACTAGCTGGGTTATGCAGAACTTGTGATCAAGTGCCAACAACTTTTTGTCATGCTTCTTCAAGACGTGCGTCTTAGAGTGTCCGGTGAAGAAACTGTAAAGGATGCAGCGGCGGATCCAACTTCAGCTCTGACCAAAGAGCTGCTCAGCATCCAGCTGGACATGAAGACATACCAACAAGACAGGAAGCAGCTCCGGTAAGACATCTGTGAGAATAGTTTTTACATGCTTGTTGAGTTGTTGAACACAGTGTCTACATGGTACCTGTTATTATATTGTGTGTGTGTGTGTGTGTGTGTGTGTGTGTGTGTTCACTCAGGGCTTCACAAAAATTGAAAGAGGTATTACAAAGTTGGTTGCAGACCAGCGGGAAGGACGAACAAATGGAAAGAAGCGCTGTTTTTCAAGAGTTGAAGGAGGTAAGAAGATTAGATCATTTTATCATTGTTTGTGTTAAAGGCATACTGAGTAGGATTTTCCTAACAAACAATGACTCATCCACAAGTAATCTCTCTTAATCATCACTTATGACGTGTGTACTGGCAATGTGGAGCTTCTGGAGGGTTTTGCAGAGGAGTGGCGGTGTTCATTTATAAATTGGTTTATAAGGTAACCAATTTATTCGTTATTTTCTCAGATTTACTGCTCTGTGAAAAAAAGAGATGTTCATAACTCTATAACGCTCTATGATAAGTGGAAATACTCTTACCTGTTCAAGTTTCTTCAATTATGGAAAGTTATTTTGAGTAACTTCCCAAATTACGTCCACTGATGGCTTAAATTGTGCATGCATTCCTGAGAAGACAGTAAATCACTGGCTGTGAAAAGGCAGCAATGAGGGATGAGAAGTCACATAAGGGGAAACCGTATGAAATCAGCAGATTTAGAATGTGTAACTAAGTACATTTACTCAAAGAAACTCGAGGTACTTATACTTTACTTGGCAAATGTTGTACTTGTTACTCCACTACATTTGTCTGACAGCTTTCACACCCTTCATGGCTAGTGAAAACTATGTATCTCCACATTTGGTGATTTTCATTTAAAATTTTTATTTTTCTGAAACTGAAGGATTACGTGTTCCTTTATGCGTTGAGAAAATTCTCCTACTTCTTAAATTAAATACACAATTTAAAAACAACTTAGATTTTGGATTATCTGGAAAATGCATAGTCACAGAGCTGAAAACAGGGCTGTGTTTCTGAACTGAAAAATGACTTTAAACTGTAGATTAAATTTGCCAACAGTATATAAAGTAGTTAAAATAGTTAAGTAAAAACTTAATCTTAATCTACAGTAGTAAAATGCAACATGATGTCGATGTTGATGTTTTTCAATGTTGACAGTTGGAGGAGCGCATCGGCGGACTTTCTACTGAACTGGCAAAAAGGAAACCAACGATGCTGCTACATGCGGAGAGGATCCAGCATTTACAGACTGTCCTCACAGATCACTCTGTGTTTACGACACAACAGGAAATAGTGCTCACACACTCCAAAAGTGATAAAACCTGCTGATCATTTCTGCTGAACCTTTCACCAGCTGATACATGTTTTGCTATAAACATTTATACCTCAGCGCCATCTTATTGACCTTATATTGCTATTTATTCTTGTTAAATATCATGTAAACTGTCTTACAACGGACATTAAAAAAACATTAAAGCCAAGTTCCTTACAGCAACTTTCACTGCTACATCTACACCTAAAATACACGAAAACATTGGCTAGGGGTCGTCCTTGTGACAGATGGTGCTAAATATTTTCCATATGTGTGGAAAAAAAAGTGACTTTAGTTTTTTCAGAGGAGCAGCCCTTGCACAATACGTTTTGTATTTGTCCGTTAGTACCAGAACGTCTAATACTTTCTGCGCAGGAGTATATCTGAAATTTGAGACAAAGAGAAAGGACAGCTGTCTGTTGTGCTCTGCAGACTACATGAGACAGATTTGAGCTTCCACAGGCCAGAATGAGAGGACTTTATGCAATTTTGCTCTTTGTCTGCTGCATCAGGGGTAAGTTTTCTTTCTGAACAAATTAATTTACCTGCATTGTTAAGTTATTTTATGTTCATATATTGTATCATTGTTTTGTTGAAAGTTTTTTTTATTCTTTTGTAGATGTTGATGCAAAGATTGTTGCCATCTGTTTGGAGCTTTTTGTATTAAAACTGATTTAAATGTTGTAAATGTTGTAAAATCATTTCACAGTCTGCTAAAATGCAATGTTGGTTATTTAATGAATGGATGAAAAAAATCATTACATACCTGCATCTTAATAAAAGCTGACAAAGCTTCCTATAAAGTTGTGTGAACTGTTCTTTGCACGTTAGCTAAGAAGACGCGGTGGTGCACCGTGTCAGATCCTGAACAGAGGAAGTGCGCAGAACTAGCTAAAGCTTTGGTGGCAGTGTTGCCACCAGCTGTTGTGGCAGCTTTTGCCAGACTCTCATGCATACGAGCGTCCAGCACGACTGACTGCATCGACCGGATCAGGGTGAGTCATCCTTTTAACTTAAATGCCATAAATTTAGTGAAAAGTTGCACAAAAAAACATCCCTATGGAGTTTGTGATGTGTGTGTGTGTGTTTTTATAAATTCTTACAATAAAGCATTTTCTTGACAAATAAAGGATGAAAACTCCTTAATGCTTAGCTGGAATTCTTCTTGTTTGAAAAGATAATAGACGTAGGCTATAGGAAAAAGTGGATTTATACATGTCAGTGTTTTCCTGTAGGGCAGATCAGGGCAACAATGAATGAAGCCAAACTTTCTCTTTAGAGTTTAACCAATACTGAATTCTTGAGACAAATATTGATATTTGAGGGTTTAAATACTGAAACATTGACCAATATACTTTTTTTTTTTAACACAAATCACTGTCAGTGCTCCCTGATGGACGGACGAATGAAGACACTGTTTCTAAATTACCTTAAACATAGCTTTGGCCTTTTCTGGACTGCAATTTCTTGTCACTAATCAGCTACCATATGAATGATGAGAGGTGTATGAACCCTATAGAACACTATTACAAGGATTTATTTTGTAATATTGCTGTTTGTTTCAGGGTAACCGTGCTGATATAGTGACGTTAGATGCAGGAGAAGTTTATTCTGCTGTGAAGCAGTTCGGCCTCGTTGCCGTCGCCAAGGAGATATACAGTGACGGTAGGTTTACCTCACAATTCTGAGACACTTGAGCATGTCTCTTCAGCACTAGTGTCTGAGTCAGTGTACCTGTCTGTGTATGTCTGTGTCTACACTGAGTCCTGCAGGAGGCTGTATTCTGTCTGTGGCTGTGGTGAGAAACAGCAGTCTGGACATACGATCCCTGCAGGGCCACAGGAGCTGTCACAGTGGAGTTCGATGGACAGCTGGATGGAGTCTTCCTCTCGGCTTCCTGCTTTCCCGGAACTACCTGAGCTGGTCAAAGGAGCAGCCGCTCAGTCAGGGTAACGACATTATAATCAGTTGCACAGTGTGGAAGTATTTCTTTTTTGGCATCTCTGGTCCTCTGGTTTTTCATTCCCCTCACTTGTTTTTCTGCTCTCGAGCAGACGTCAGCACCTACTTCAGTGCCAGCTGCATTCCTGGAGCTGCAGCCATGGCACCACCTCTGTGCTCGCTGTGCCAAGGCCAGAAGTCCTACATTCGCCAGAAGAATTACCACTGCGAAACGTCCCACAGTGAGCCCTTCTACAACAGCCAAGGGGCCCTCAGGTCAGGCTCAACAAGCTGTCAACCTCCGACTCACATTTGCTGTATTTAAAACATGTAATAATAATAATAATGACAACTTTTTTAATATAGTGCTTCAAAAGGCTCTTTACATGTAGACAGTAAAAACAGCAGAGACGTGAATGTCTCGTACTGCCTCTTTTGCTCTGTCACAGATGTCTCAGGAGCGGGGTAGGAGATGTTGCATTTGTGGACCATTTATCTCTTGAAAGTATTGAAGGTAACCTATCTACTAATGGACTTCTATCCTATCTTACGATTCAGTTATTCTGTTACAATTAAACTTCTGAGTTGTCCTGGTGGCAGTTTAAGAGGCCGACTATGCGTCTCTGAATTGTCCCTCATGTGTTTCTTTTTTTTTCCTGTCAACTCTCTACTGTCTGTCTGAACAGAAGAGAAAAAACTACAGTTAACTACAGCAGTGATTCCTAAAGAGCTTAAATGATTATACATATATGTGTGTTTAGGAGGAAAATGAGATCCACAAAAAGGATCACATGCTGATCTTTAGTATATCAGTTATCATAATAACTAATAAACCAGCTTACAATAAGCTGACCACACAGTTTAAAACCAACCTGAGTTGGTTGAAACACCTGAACTCCACCTGCTGGTATTGAGAACTTTGGTTTGCACTGAGCAGAGTGTCAATAGGCTAAAAGGAATGAATAGTTACTGCCACTGTAGTAGTAGTAGTACAACACACTGACGATGAAGAATCCATTAAAGATCACACTGAAAAGTGTTCTAAGGATTGTAACATCTGCTTTGTTCTCTCAGACGGTGATAAAGACGAGTTCAGGTTGCTGTGTACAGACGGCACACAAGCTCCTCTCAGCCACTACAGAAACTGTAATCTGGGACGTGGCCCAGGAGGCGGCATGGTCACCAGGTTCAACTTCCGCAAGGTCGCTCGCAAATTCCTAGGGATGGCACAGGTACATTTTTATTTCACTTATTTTCCCCCATTTTGCCTTCAAGTGTTACACTTAGTTTCCAGGCTGCATGCCCGTAGTTTTCCTTTTACCACAATAAAATAACTTTAAAGGACTCTTTATTGTCGTTGAGGTGCTGTTTGGCCAACGAGGAAGAGAGAGGCAACGCTTCCAACTCTTCAACTCATCTTCTTTTGGAGAAAACGACCTTCTCTTCAAAGACGCGACGGATAAACTGGCTGTTCTAGCAGATGACATGGATGTCAGTCAGGTGCTGGGTCTAGATTATGTGGCACTCCTCAAAGGTCTTGGACATGAAGGTGCAGACCCATACTGGTGTGTGGTTGTTCATTCTTATATTAAAAACAGACCGGCTGTGATTTTATGACCTCTTTGAACCCGTTTTTTGTGCAGGAAGTTCACTGGAAGACAGTGTTGTGCGATGGTGCTGTATTAGCCTTGCAGAGCAGAAGAAATGTGAGCAGTGGGCTCTCAGTATAAAGTCAGACCCGCTGGTGTGCGTTAGAGCCGTCTCAATCCGTGATTGTATTGAGAAAATAAAGGTGGGTCATTCAAGTGATATAAATATAAATGTAAAGAATGTTTTATCACACTTTAAAATGACTATAATTCATACTCTCCCAATATCACTGACACTGATGGCGCAGAGGGACGAGGTGGACGCTGTCTCGCTGGATGCAACTCACTCTTTCATCGCAGGAAAATGTGGTCTTGTCCCTGTAGTCACAGAATATTACGGTAAGAGTCTGTTCTGATAATACGTATACACACAGCAAAGAGGCTCAAGAAGAACAAACTTGGAGCCTTTTCTACTGTATATTTCTTATCCACCGATGTTCTTCAATAGTCACTTAATTCATCATTAGATTGACAGAAATGTTC